ATATATATATATATATATATATATATATATATATATATATATATAACACATCTTTTCTAGAATATAAACTTTGTGAGGGTATAATGTATGACAAATGCTTTCCAGTTATCTCCCATGTACCTAACATAGTCTTGCATATTCTAAAACTTAAAAAAACACCAAACTGATTACAAGGTCATGAATTCCAAAGGGATTTTCCCAGTTCTACTGTTGTCCCAGTTCTTACCTGGATCAAATAATATTGCTTCAGATAAGACAGCCATGGGCTTGGGTTTAGTAATTCTCATGTCACTTATACAATTGTTTGCATATGGGGGGAAAAAAAAAAGAGTACCAGCTAACTGTAACCAAATGCACAACATAAAAATCTAATTATATTTTGAACATCATCTAGAAGTCATTTCTACATAAATCTTCTAGACTTTTAGTTGAGTAAAACACACAATCACACACACACACAAAAAAATCCCAACTCACTGCCTGGGGCACAACTGGGGCTGCAGCTCCCACGTGAATAGCATCGTAAGGGGCTTCTTCCGCATATCCCATTCTTCCATCCCCCACTGAAAGAAAAAAGTTATACTTTATAAAACTGTTTGCATGAAACAGTGTGAAGAGTTATAGTACAGGAGGTTTAAAATGGGGAAAGGATAGCTTTTCCAATAAATGATGCTGGGACAACTGGATACTCATATGGAAAAAAATATAATTGGACCCTTCCTCATAACACACACACATCAATGTCAGGAAGATCAAAGAACTAAATGTGAAAAGCTAAAATGGTAAAGCTTCTAAGAAATAATACAGGGACATATCTTCATGACTTCAGGGTAGCCTCAACAGGACACAGAAAGCATTGAATAAAACTAAGTCTGACTACATTAAAATTAAGAATTTCTGTTTATCAAAAGGGTACCAGTAAGATGAAAAGATACACCACAAAGGGGAGAAGAGGTTTACGATATGTATAAACAGACAAAGGCCTAGTCTCTAGAAGCCCTATAAGTCAAAGAAAAATACAAACAATCCAATATCTGAACAGGCAATTCACAAAAGAGGAAATCCAAATGGCCAAACACACAAAAAAGTATTCAACCTCATTGGTTAATAAGAAAATACAAAATTAACATCGCAAAGAGATACAGTGCTATACACTCACTAGGTGGACAAAAAGAGTAATTGTTATTCTTTTTTAGTATTTAAAAGAGAATGTAAATAAATGTAATAATTAACTCTGAGTCTTATTTAGCTTGCATGAATCTTCTGAAAATAAAAATCCTCTGGTGAAGAAATTTTTAAAGTTTCCTGATACTCACCAACCAGTTGCACTCTCCCTGAAGACAGAAGTGCTGGATCGTCCTTTCTGACATTATTTATCGAGTCATCTACTAGCTCTTTAATGTGATCAATTCCTATCACTTTTCCATTAGATCCAACCTGGAAAAGAGAAAATAACCTAATAGCTCATTGGGCTAAATTTGTTTTTCTAAAGTGTTATTAAAGTGTTTCCTTATCTAAAATCATATTCCGAAATGAGAAATTAAAAACAAACGTCTTAAGCCTCCACTTAGATTGTGAAACACTCAGTTTATCATAAATTATTTACCATATACAACTTTCACAACTATAATCCTCACTGAATAATTATATGTAAGCAATTAAAAAGCTAAAACAAATTTTAAAAATTTATAATACTAAGAAAAACTATATCTTTCTTAGATTTCTAATTTTTAAATCCAGAACTTTGAAGTAGAATTTAACTACTAATATTTAATGGTAGTGCAATCTTTTTAAAATTGAAATTCCATTTAAAAGTGTAACTTTAAGCATTAAAATGTTACATAAAAAATTTTATGAGGAAGAGCTGGCTGGTTAGTTCAGTTGGTTAGAGCGTATTGTTATAACAT